GAAGGCTGTATGGCGCTGTCTCAAAAAGTTGCAAATAGAAATACCTTTTGACCCAGCAATTCCACTACTGGGAATATACCCTAAAGAAACCAAAGTATATATAAGCACACCCATGTTTATTGTGGCTTGGTAGCAAAGAGTTGGAAGCAACCCAAGTTCCCATCAACAAATGAATGGATAGAGAAGCTGTGGTATAGTCACACAACTGAATACTATGCAGCACTGAAAAACAAGGAACTCATAAAATATTATACAAAATGGTGACCCTGGAAGACATTATGCTGAGTGAAATAATTAATCTCAGTCACAAAAAGACAAATATGCTATAATGCCACTGTTATAAAATAGGACTGACATGGGGACCTGGGGGGAAACTAAGAAAAGAGGGGGTAAATAATCAACATGGCATTGAAACAGACAAGGGAGAGAACTGTATAAAAGGAATTATGATTAGGTATTATTGGCATGACAAGAGTCCAGAATAAGAGCTGCATAGTAAAGTGGTCTGGGAGGGGACAACTGTATAATAATCAAAGAACTTTTTTCCCAAAGAAAAAAGCAATCTAGTTGGGAGGGGGCCCGGGGAAACATGCAACAATGAATGATTGGAAACCCAAGTTCTTTATAAACTTTCATTAAAATCTCAATTAAAAAATTATTTTGTTCACCCACTGACTGATTATATATATATATATATATATTCAAATGTGCCCTGGAGAGACAAATCTAAACAAAATCTAGTTCTAGGTTTCAAGGAGTTGGATACACACTAATCCCAATCTCCTTGTAGTTTCCACGGATCCTAAACTGGTACTAATTTATATAAATTGCTTTTACATTTCTTCTACATGTGTCTTGTGCCCTTGTGGGAAAAGATAGATTATTTCTTTCAACTCATTTCTGTTTAATCAACCACTAGCTTTCATGTTTTTCAAAACACAATGACCCATTGTCATTCACTTTTCAAAACAAATTGTACAATTATGAACCTTTCTGAAATCAAGTGAGGACTTTTTACTGTGCGTCTCTTGTGGGAAAAGCCCCTGAGCTGGTCACTGCGTCGAGTGCAGACAAAGTGGGGGTAGGATGACAGAGTGAAGAGGACTGGATCCTTGCATGTGCACAGCCTCACCTATCAAGTGCTGAGTCATGTGGCAGTAGCTGCTAGAATTCCAGGAAGAGGTTGTGCATGGGATTGAATGTGCCGTTGTGTTGGATTCAAAGAAAGGATTGGCTTGTATACCAATGAAGGAGCTTTTCTTTTGTTTTTCAAGGAGAAGAGCAAACTGAGGGTGGGGGTGGGGTAGATGGGGAGAAAAGTGCAACAATGAATGAATGGAAATCCAAAATCTCTGTATATGAAAGTCTCTGTATAAGAGAGAGAGAGAGAGAAGGAGGGAGGGATGAAGGAAGAAGGAAGGAAGGAAGGAAGGAAGGAAGGAAGGAAGGA